AAAACCTATTCATTATATTTTAAAAATTAGTTGAGTCTCATAACATTTCCAACATTTTTTTTTATCTATACCTAGGTATTTTTTTCAAGAAAAAATATAAAAAAAATTATTATTTAAATAAAAATCTAGATTGTATTCCATTTATAAAAAATATAAACAAGTAATAAAAAAAATGTAATTTTTCTCGGTTAAGTTCATAAAATATAGTAAAATGATAAAAATTGTAATTTAACAGAAAAAAAGGATATACGCGTATCCGCTTTGAATAAAAATATTATATAAGGTTATTACTTATTAAATTTAAGCACTTGCAACTGCAAATGGTTTTTTTTTTGTCTATTTGCAGTATTTTCAACTTTGGGATTGCCATTAATAATTTACACAAGAGCTACAAATGTGTAGTGCGGTCCCTGTTTGCGTTGTATACAAAGAGGATCTTGAACCAAAATGAAACAATAGTACACGTCTTACTTTATTCAATATTTTATTAGTGAAAACTGTAAATAATTTAATGAGTTTACCACTTTTCCCTCTTGACCTTAGTTATACTCTGCACAGTATATCTAAGGTGCACGTCAGCAATCACAGTCCCATGTATTATTCGACAATAGGATTATACTTGCATTTGTAAACTTAATAATCTATTGACTAAGAAATAATTTTTAGAGTAAGAATTTTAAATAAAATTGTACTTATTTTCCATATTGAATACCCTTTGATTGTGATTCTATGCATTTTTAACTTAGATAGAACTTGATAAAAAGAGAAGAGAAACTAAATACTAAAATTAAAATTATAGAAAATAGTTGAATGCTCCTATTATAATACAACATAAAATTACATTGTCTCTTACAAATTATATAATTATACATAGAACAAATGAATCAAGTTAAGAAAATCACATCGTGTTTGCATTCTGTGTGTAGAAATTCTGATCTAGATACTTAAGCATTTGTTTTATTTACTTAGGATATTTCTTTTAGCGCTTAAACAAGAGATTTTTATAAGTGGGTAGGTAAACTATAAACTATAGGCCACCGCGTAAGAGTTTGTAATTAAACTCACTGCGGTATTGAAGTTGTATTAAATTCTCCAGTGACCACTTTTCATGGAATTTGTCAAACAACTTAGAAGGCTTGTAATTGTGTAGGCAATGATTGAATTTGCAATGTAACAATCCAAGTCATTGCCTAACCTCTATACAACCGTTATTAAACACAAGTTCAAATAAGTTCTTTAGAGGCAAAACCACTATAATATTGGTTTATGATATTTACAAAGCCCCGACAACGTTTGCAGTCGCCACGTTTCTACTTCAATATTAAAATACAGGTCACTGTGTAATATTCAAATGTATACTAAATACTTGTATGATATTAACAAATATCTCTCTACCTACTTAAAGTTATATTTAATAAAACCAACTTGTTGATACCAAACTAAAATGACAATGCGAACTTTTTTTTTTTTTTAATAAATATTTCTTAAAAATGCTTCTCCAATTGCTATTTGTTCATTATTTCAAAAAAAAAATTCCATTTAATTATTTTATTTCCGATATTGTATTACAAATATTTTATATTTTTAGAAATACAAACTTAATAAAGGAACTATTTTTTAAGCTACTTTATTTGTCTTCCTTTAATAAATAAAAAAAGCTAACCTATAGCGGTCTTTTGTTGTATAAATTGTGGAAGTCCTTAAAATTCAATAAAAACACGTCTTTTTGAGAAACTTGTGCGTTTATTGACTTTCATTTTATTATTTCATTGGTAAATAATATAAATTTAATAAGAAAAAATTATTTAAATTTTAAATTTGTATAACCTAACTACTCGAAACAATTTCTTATTATTACCTGATAGTAGTATTTACTACTGTTATTATATAAAACTAATTGAGTTCAAGTAGGGGGACTGGAGAGTACAATGACATAGGACACAGACGTCATATGAGCACATTTTTTTACAAATAATTGAGACATGTAACAAACGTATTTGGTAACATTTTAATGATTTCGCAAAACAATTTCGCAAAACAATTTCCCAAAAAAAACATGGTTGGGCGAAATGGTTTGAACAAAAAAATATTTCCATTCCAAATCTAAATCTTTTTTTTTTTTTTTTTTAATTAAAATCTGATAGTATCTGAATCTAAAAAACAGTACCCTATTCTTTGAACGTTCAAAATTTTACTGCATAATATAAAAGGTTAATGTTCGTCTAGAAAGATTTCAAACCATGTATTTTTGCTTCTAACCATTTCACTTACTGACTACGGAACCACAGTAATAATATTATTTTAGGAAGTCAAATAAAAAAAAAACGTTCGACAAGGTTGTTAGGTAGTAAAACGAAATGAGAACGAAACGTAGTCGTGTATTGCTACCTATACACGATCCAGTGCACTTTTGACCCTTTGTAAGAATGGTATAGAGTGGTTTATTACCGGTCCATTCGGTACTATATTGTAGGAGCTGCGAAAGGGGAAAAAAGGACCAACCATAGTATTGTATAGGGCGAAAAACCTGGCAGGTGCAATGTATGTATAAGAAAGTTCAGGGTCATGTTTTACATTTGGTTAGTAACACCGACAAGAAATTTTGCCCAACCAGTGAAAAGTTATTATTATTAAACTTTACATTAATAATCTATTATTACTACAGAGTTCATTGCCTAATTTGTTATAATGAGATAGAGTACTTACGATGAGAGTAAGAAAAGCATTGTTTTATTAAGTTGTTATAATATTTCTTTCCATGAAATCTACTTGTAAGTTTATTACAAGTATTATGCTAAGCTTTTATGGAAAAACTTTATAAAGTCTCTATTACTTGTACATTGACTATAGCATACTAATACTTATATATAGTATAATATCTTATTTTAACAGAGTTTCCTAAAAAGGCCGTCATACTGCTAATTTTCCAACGTTACAGAATACGTTTTACTCGCTCCGTGATGATTTCAGAGCAAAAATACCTGTAAGAAAAATTAAGTATGACAAGATATAGGAGAAAATGGCATATCCTTTTTTTTAAAAAACTTACATAGCCTAATAACTACACATAAAAAGCTTTAAGTTAAGATTTCCCCAAAAGTTGCCTATACCTAACCCCTTAATAAATAGCGGATATCATTTATTCTAAACATAGCAATAGTAATTACCATAATTTTACTGTGAAGTACATTGTTGACACAAAAGAAGCCCAAACTAGTGCATGCACTTAATTATTGTTCATTTAATTAAATATCAACGAGGACAAAGGACAAAGTTAAATTAAAAACCATTGAATCATTCCTAATAGATAGATTTTGATGGTTTTTAAGAAAAATTGCCTACGTTAAAATGTAGACAACTTATGTATACATACAACTTCTCAGTTCACCAGAAAAGTGCATCTCCTACTCCTAAGTTCTAAGATTTTTTTTTGTAAAATAAAGTTATGTTTTTATTGTTTTTTCATTCTAACAAAGTGTCAACAGTGGTATACAGTGGTCAACAATGTTTTGTGGCAGAATTTAATATAATATCCAAAAAGTTGTTTTTTACAGTGTTTTTAAACATAACATTGGATTTAGGCAAGCGTGCCAAATTTATGAGAATGAATTATTGATACGCATCAACTTTAAGTAATGTTTTTCCGAGTTTTAAGCCTTTGAAAAAAAGTCCACCCATTGAAAGTGTTCAAAACATTCATAAAGGTATTTTTCCACAAAGTCTATAACTTTTGAACTTTTATATTTTCGAACAATTATTACTTTGTAGATGCAATAAGAATGTCATAAAACATCTATATATTATTATGCTGGTAAGCAGTAAAGCTGAAAATATGTATTATAAATATATAACGTAAGTGAATACTAAAAACTACAGATTAGAGACGTTCTGTTGATTGCCTGTTCAGTAGCTCACTGTTTGTACACGGCTATTGTTATAACCAGAAAAAGGTTATAATATTCATGTCTGCAGTAATTCGATTTCTTACTGTCACTGCGTGCGTACAATGGGTCAAAGGTGCGTTTCAGTCTTTGAAAAGGGGGAAAATGTCATTATGTTTTTTTTCTATCGTTCCTGTAATTTTTTTTTTCTTATACTCTTTATCCTTGAGCTCACTCAGACTTCGCCGTGGCGTCGGTGTAATCGATGGAAGTTATTTAGCGTTGAAAATAAAAATAAATAATAAAAAAAAACAACAATTTTCTCTTTACCCACTACTCTGTCTTTTATAACGTACTTCTTACTAACCTAACTCGAAATCAAGTTTATATATTTTCCAATAGCACGCAATACTCACGAAAAAAAAACAAGTACATATATGTAAGTACGTGTGCGGCTCGCAATTTTCAACTGCAAATAATTTATTAGCTGAAAAATTATTTGAATGGTTGTACGCGGGAAATTAAAGCACATTTACCGAAAAAGGATTTTGGGTTACGTCCAATTAAATATGTATATGGCCAACTACGCGGTCGGGTGATAATCATAATATGCCTACCTACTATAAAGAGCCGTGGAACTTTATTAAACCCAAAAATGATTTTCTGACTGTACGTAGCGCAGTTAACATTTTTTGTACTACTTTACAGTAATTCGAACCTCATTACGCTTGGGCCTTGGCGGCAAAACTTTATCTTGCCAAAAATAAACTAACAAGCACTTATCTCATGCACTTATATTTGTGTTAAAATTAAATAACCACAACAAACTACCCCTCTAACAAACCCATCAATAGATATATCGTATTTATACGCTATGACTACGTGTTGGAAACCCAACCTATTTTTTAAAATAGCAAAAATGAACTGCCCGCCTAATTTATTGTTATTTTCAATTATAATTTTAAAACACTGAAATTAACATTTTATACATTCGACATTGATTTCTGATTTTTACAAACCGCATACAAAAACGATTTATGTAGGGTTTAAAATCAACCTTCCTACAATAGCTATAATTATACTTTTATGCAATCGAATAAGGTAAATAAAATATTTGGCTTACATAAAATTAAAAGTTTAATAATATTGTTTTAAAGTGTCTTAATCGACAAAATAATAATATGACAATTATTATTCTAGTACATCGTCTTGGCCTTTTACTTCCTCGTTTTTGCCTTTTCCTTTAGCTATTGGTGCATTTTTTTTCATTTTTTGCATTAATGTACCTTTGGCTCTGTTGAGTCCTGTCCCCAGTTTAGCGGCATTTTCCTGCAAATTAATTTTAACTGCATTTTTGGCCCGTTCGAAGTTTGTTGGCATTTTACCTAAATTGTTCGAATCTATTAACAAAATGCATACACGCGCATATCAATATTAATATATTATTCTCTTTCAAATGTTTACTGACTTGAGATAGGTTTAGTAGTTTCTACATTTCCATCAGTTTGTTCTGTTAAAAAAAAAAATAATTAAAAATCAAATTTAAATATTAGAAAGTTAATGGCGCTAAGTAAGTAAATACTTAAAAATAACATAGTTGTAATTCTTAAATTGTTTACAGTCAATGATCAATACTCAATGGTCGTTTAAGTTATAACGGGTGATTAACATGATGTTATTCAACTAGGAAATAATAAGTTTACGATATATTGTCGCATTAGTTATATTTTCTCATACAAAATAAAAAACAACTAGACTTAAGCCAAAGCCGTGGTCACACTTCATTATATCTAAAAACATTTACAATTGATAATTATTCTGAAGTTCTTTTACTATTAATTACTATATTTTATACTTAGTTAGTCTTACCGTTTTAGTTAAAATAACCAAAATTAGAAGTAGTTAAGTAAAAATTCTAAACCAAATTATTGTCCTTGTATCTTTATTTTATCGTTTAAATAACGTACCTCTTATTTCTTTGGTTCTGTGGAGTCCTGTCCTCAGTTTACTGGCATTTTCCTGGAAATTAGTTTTCAATGCATTTTTGGCCTGTGTGAAGGTTGTTGTCATTTTACCTAAATTGTTTGAATCATTAAACAAAATTCATACACACTCATATCAATATTAATATATTATTCTCTTTCGAATTTTTACTGACTTGAGATAGGTTTAGTAGGTTCTACATTTCCATCAGCTTGTGCTATTAAAACAAAAATTAATTAAAAATAAAATTTTAATATTAGTAAGTTAATGGCTGTAAGTAAATAAATACTTAAAAATAACTTAGTTAGTCTTGTCGTTTTAGTTAAAAGAACCAAAAATAGAAGTAGTTCAGTAGAAAGTATAAACCAAATTATTTTACTTGTATGTTTATTTTGTTTAATTTAACTTAATAATATTTTATGAATCCAAACATTTTTGTATTTGATTGAATTTTTTGTACTAGATTACATATTATTGTTTTTTTATATTATATTAAGTTATAAGATTGTACGTTAAAACTTAATAATGATCTCGAATTTACATTTTTTAGTAATGCGTTTTGAATTTCTATTTTCTTACATATTCTAATCACATGTTAAATGTTTTGACGAAATTTCTATAATTATTTGGAAATTGAATAACATAAATTTTACTATAAAATTCGAACCTTTACTAATTTTTGCTTTATTCATTTTACTTTTGATACTTTCAGCTACATTTCCAAAGTATGATGATGCCTTCTGCATTTTGCCTTCTTTTTTATCTTGGAATGCTTCTGAAAATTTAAGGTTAGTGTTTTTTTTTTATTATACCAGCTTTATAAAAATAAATAAAATACATAAACACCATATGTTTATAATTGTAACATACATAAGTTTTCTTTATATATTAGAATTAGCAAGTACGTTAAACAATTAGTAAATTCTAACTATTACTAATATTGTCAAAATATAGTGGTTGTTTTTAGTTACAGTTATAACTGTTATAACTTATGTAATAAATATAAAAACAATCGCGTTACTATTATTTATAAGCTATTGTTGTATAATTATAATTTATACTAACAAATTAACATAGTATAAATGTTATATATATATATATATATTAAAGGCATATTACCAGTAGGGGTATTAACATCTTTGACTGATTCTTGATCAACAGCCTCTAGCACATCTAATACCTACGACAAAAAATAAATGTATATATTTTTTTCCTAGAAGTATGTAAATATACACAATTATAATATTGTCATAGTACTTACTAAAAGAGTGCATGTTGCAATACACAAAATCTTGAAACCTTGCATTTTGGTTAGCTATAAACAAAATTAAGTTTTAAAAAAACATCACTCAAAATTAAAACGTTACAGCGTTTATAATTTCAATTAAAAGTATTTAAACATAATAACTGTGACTTTTATTAAAAAAGCTTTAATTACCTAAAAAAAAACGGTGCCCACGATTTTTGAAAAAAATATAAGGAAAACTAGTTAACTTTATTAAATTGAAACAGATCAGTATATTTATATTAAGCGCGCTTCAATACTTATAGTCACGTTTTTGTGTAATTACTTTATACACAATAGACTAAGTATATTAACAATGACTGTCTACTAAAAAATGTGTGTACAAGCTAATTAAATTTAAATTTGTTTTGCTATATGGCTGCTTATGGACGTCACTAAAATATCACCCATTCCTATGAAGTGTTAATTGTTCTAGTAGTTAAATATATAATATCAATAGTGAATGACAATCAGCAACAATAAAATGTAGAAAACAAAGCGGATAATTACAATGATTATGGTATTGTAATATCATTGGTCGCCATATATTGTAGCAATTAAATGTAAAAAGTTTATTTTTAAATTGCACTATTTTGATTTTTGTTGTAATATTATATTAATTGTGCGTAAAAATGGATAATACGTACATTTTTGAAAATGCAGAAATTTAAGGTTAGATATTTATCATTATCAGTTTAAAATAATACATATTTTGTTTTATGATTTACATAACATCAATTTATAATGTCTATGAGATCGATACGATCACTTATATTAACATTGATAAAGCTCCACTTTTCCATCTTAGTAGGGCATGAAAGAGCACAGTAGTCTGTAGACTACTATTCCTACTTATTGTGCAAGAATGTATGTAATATACATTTCTACAATATGATTATGTTTATTATAAACTTTCAATACGATTTTTATTAGTATTACCATAATCATAAAAAAAATAAAACTTTTTTTTATTTTGTTCTAGTTTTTACAACGTTCGATAATTATTATTTGCAAGGTTGTAAAAGTAGTTAAACAGTTTGAATGAGATTAAAACAAAATCAAACTGTAAGTTTATCAAACACTTTATTGCTATACCTGTATGGTTTTATTCTTTTTCTTATTTTTATTCAAATAGAAATTGTGCGTTTAAGCGTGTAAGCTGCTGTTGGATTGCGAAAGTTTTTAAAAGCACTCTACCATGTTTGGATTTTACCATTAAAATGACGGATATCAGAGTTTTATATTTTGAAAATGGTACAAATGTTTTCCTTGTATAATATACGGCAATGCGAATACAACTTGCTGAAGCTTATAGTTCCGGAACGATGCCGCGGCCCGCCGAGTGCACATACAAAACTTTTCAACACGGTTGCGACAGTAATATTATTAGTTTTTTGCTTCATGAGAGTGGTAGAAGAATGATAAAAATAGCGAAACCCTTCCGGACCGGAAACACGAACTGAAAACTATATTCGAGTTTGTCTGGAGTTTCAGCTGTAAAACAATTTTTGACCGGAAATTTCATCATCACGCCGTCAAATACAATACTTTGTTCCTTTCACAATCTGTATCCATCTCACAGGTACTTCAGGACTCTCAGATGTCAGATACTATACAGTAGTATTGATTTTTAATAGTATGTAAAATATTTCCACTGACCATTAAATATTAATGTTAATTTTTTTTTATTATTACTCAATATTACTTATTATTACCTAGTAATTATATTGCGGGAGTTGTAACTTCCAAAAACTAATTGTCGTTACATAACTTTACCTCTTTTTACAGACAATTTATAGTATTAAACACTTTTATGAACCTATCACTACTTTACCATTGTTGTAAAATTGTATTTATTACGTTATATACTTATTAAATTATTTTACGTTTATAGTATACACATTAAACAATATATACACACTATTTTTCAGGACTAACTGATAATGCTATTAGTTCAAACGGTGACCACCGCAAACGAATGATAAGTTTTTGTGCGACACATACTTAGCGAGTTGGGGTTGAGTAGAGTTTGATATCTTTTACAGAAGATCAATTTAATATTTGCTGAATAGCTTTTTTTTTTTTTTGCGTTTAAGTCTCACAAACCTTAGTGGTGTTAAAAGGGAAAAAACTTAGGTAATTGCCGAGCACATTATATTAGGCGTGTCGTTTTACATTGGTTTTGATTTTCACGATATACATATATTTTACATCCTCAAATTGTGTACAACATAAATCATTTCGTCTTGTTTGATTATTGACAACTATTTTTATCTACTTGCTAGTTCTGATTCAACGGCAACCTGAAAACACATTTTTTACCTACTTATTCTTTTCCAAACACCAAGACCGCTATGAGGCGACGAGGAAATAAATTATATATTATATCTTTCATCATACCTGCGTATAGTAAAACACAAAATAAATTAACATAAATCCATAGCACGTAAAATTAAACTGTGTAATCAATAACTATATAACATGAAACCAAAAATAAATTACCCATAATATTATAATAACACAAACAAATTTCACACAAATTATGTTCATTATATCCGTACTTAAGTAATCTTTATTTTATTGTGGCCACTCATTCTGAAGTGATCAGCATGGTAGTGTAGGTAAGCGTTATAGCGTTCGTCGATCAAACGAGTGGTGTGGGTTTTTTGTGTATTGCATTATAACTAATTGTATATAAATAAAGCTCAAAGTGTTTATTTCGCAAAGGATCTACTTCAATTTGATTAATTAACGTGTAACATAATATTTTAATTAATAACTCACGAGTATAACCTATAAGTTTTGGTATAATAGAAATCAGCGTTGAGTGTAATTGATTACATTATGATTAAATTACAAGCTCGATAACAATAAGATAATCATGATTACGTTTGTAATCATTAACCATCTAGTTTTAATCATGAAATGATAAATTGTGTATACTTTTTAACCGTCTTAAGACTTTCTTTATTAAATATTTCATATAAATATACAGGGTGACCTACGACGTTTTTTTTAACTTACTAATATTATTTTCTGGGGAAATCCTGTTCCAGATGGTTCGTTGTGCTAACATATTTTTGTTTTGAATTCGTTCAAAAATTAATTCAGACACTATTATATGTTACACGTAAATAATATAATATACGTTATACGCGATTACCAAAAACGTTAATTTTCAAAGGAATAAATTGTTCAAACTTTATAACATAGATTTTAAACTTTTACGCGAATATGTGGTTTGAGTAACATAATACATTGTATTATGAATACATTAATATTGTAAATCGAAATACAAGTAAATAATATGATACACTTGATAATATTATGTCATTTGACAAGCAACGTACTTGTGTATTGCGATGGTACTTGTGAATTCCAACATGCATGGAGATGTAGTTTTTTTTATAGTTATACAGTTCACATATTTAACAAATCAATTATATTGGCAACTATAGTGTCGATGACATTTTACGTATGAGGATTGAAAATAAGATATTTAAAAAAAATCTTATTATTTGTATATTATATGAATAGTTTATGTAAAAATGTGTACTTACCTGTACAAAACTGTTTTGAATCTTCCAACATCCGCCACTATGTCAATCGTTCAATACCTATTTTTCCTCTTGACATATTTCAATCGAATCTTCAATAATATACGATTACATTATATAAACGTACCTATTCTTTGTTTTAAGATGAGAAACACTAGATGTGTAGGGGCTAATATTATTTATATTCCTGAAACAATTGGGTAGCATGAAAATGTGTAAAGGGCAAATATTTACATGTAACATAATACCTAAAGTTTTCCAAAAGGGAGGACGACTATAGTGTCCATTATAATGTTTTATTTAATTTATTTTCCTCCGTAATGGACCATACAACATAACTTTAAAAGTAAAAAAATATGTTTTAAACGTGCTTTCCATACTTAGAGCATACATAAACTTGAATTTATTTTTTATTTTTACTAAGAAGAATTAATAATTTAACAGCTAATATTACTCGGTTAAAAGGTATCTAAATACTTTAGAGTGTTTTCTCTCCATTTAATTAATATGCCACAAAAAAAGTAGTGTAATTAATGTAAAATTATTTTTAAAAATGTTTTCCAAAAATGTACAATTTAATAAGCATTTGATGAACATTGAAAAATCGAAATGAGACATTGTTTTCAGATTATTTATGAGTTTGTTTTACGGTAACTGAAATCTAATTTTTAGTTCAAGTAAAGTTTTTTTAATTTTGACAACTTGAAAATTATTTGTTTTGTCAAATATATTAATCCTTTTTAAAAAACTAATACTGCTTTACTAGTAAAAAACGACTTTTGTTTAATTCAAAATTATAGAAAAATAAATAACATTTTGCCAACCATTGCAATGTTGCAATAATGCGGTCAGATGAATAACCCTAATTTTATTGTCGTTTACATAATATCGTAGATCAAGAAATATACCATGTTTAAATCTGTTTTTCAATAGTCGATACCTATATATTTTTAGTCAATAAATCGTCTTTTTCCGCAAAAATACCCTGTCAAAAGGTTATTTTTTACTTATTAAATTCAACAGTGGTGATAAAGAGCTAAAAAATATCCGGCTTGTTGCAACTGCTACCGTGTTATCGGTTAGTCGATTTCGGGTTCATCTCTTCGCAAAAAAAAAAACAAATTTTAAAAATGATAGACTATTTTTTCGATGTTACACTTCACAACCATCAGTAAAAAAGATACAAGATCGTTCTTTTTTATGAAAATTTAAAAATAGCAAATTAATTCCCATTTGCATAGAATTCAATATACGTAGTTTACATTATAATAACTATAATCTTATTATCTTAATATCTTTAAATATTATTAATTATTTAACAAAACAAGTACATAGTAAATTAATATTATTTGTTTTAATAAAACAGCTTAATATTAAAACTATATTGTTTTATTCTCCCGATTATTTTGACTAAACACACTTTATGTTTGATTGAGTAATAAACGATATTTCATACATGTCACAATAAACGCAGTCTATTTATTATAATTATTTTATCTTACAATATAAGTTAGCATAGAGCTGTAAAAGTGCGTTTAACATTCTGAAGGTCATGAAAACTAGAACAATATATTATGTCTATAGTAATTACAATCATTTTAATTTGGATAAATTAACATTTATTATTGATATTATATTGATTTAAATTTCATGGAACTATAATTGTCAAAAATATCGTTAAAAAAGTTTTTACCGTTTAACCATAATAATAATATTTTACAGGTATATCACTTAATTTTACAGGTTATTACCCATTAA